TGGAGGGTTGACTAATTATTGGACATTTAGTAATATAGTGCTGAAGATCGTGACACAGTTCCTGCTCACAGAGCTTACACAGTGCTCAGGATTGGGAGATTCGTCACTCGCTGTCATCTGCCATATATGACAGTGGCCTAACCTGTCCCCAGCAATCACTATGTCGCAGTTCTCGCAGTGTGTGGTTGATTGTGGTGGTGGTGGTTGGGCTTAAGGGTTATCCTATCAACCTCTGGAGGGTTATTAAGATGATCACATTTGCTTATTTACAAACTAGCAAGAATTCTTTAGTCCCGAACATAGTCCAGGACTAGAGTAAACTCAGAGGGTATACACCGAGAAGCGGGAGTACACCTCTCGGTGTGTAACCCTTGTGTGATAGAGAATTTTGTGCTGCCCATGTGTAAGATCCCAGATCTAAACAGATCATAATTTTTTATATCAATTTCCTCATTGTTATGTGTTTATTTGGTCCGTTATACCTGTATCACAATCACATGTTATATTTATGTGGTATGGTAGCCATACAAAGAAATGTGTGCTTTCCGGAGACCGTGTTTAATCGGAGGAAGTGTGAGAGAGTGAGAGAAGCCTAGTGTTGACATCCGGCCGGGTGAGTGTTGGAGTTCTCTAGCACTCCGTCCAGAGCGCCTGGCTGGCCAGCTCACCACCCTTCTCCACACTCCATGGCTATAGTTTCTCAAACACTGAAGGTAAATATATAAATTCATACGTGTTTAGAGTGCAAAAAGCTAAATTTTATTATACAATTATTCGTAATTATGTAATCAAATTACTTTCTTGTGTTAAGTGCAAGTAAGAACATATTACCTTATTCGTGTTAATGTCTTTTGATACAAGTTTGGATTTCATGGGAATTTTACAAGCTGTTGCTTATATAAACAGTTTACAAGACTGGAAAGCTGCCGCCCAGTTGGGTGGGTGTGGAGCAGGATTAGTAATTGTAGCTGATCACCACAGATATAAATTGCCTTGTATAAAAACTGTTGTGAACCACTTCGTGAACCATGTGTAATATAATTGATATATAAGACAATTGTAATATAAGGCAATTGATATGTACATTAAAATCTTGTAACTAACTCCACAAGAGTGGTACTTGCGTAGATAAATAATAAATTAAATGTAGGGTTCAGTTCCTGAGCCTATTATATACCTCTGTAACTCTTTCCACCACCGTCCACAGAATGGGTATTGGGTGCATAATAAGTGATTTAAATTAATGTATTGTTCTTAAGCTGAGAGATAAGGTTTAGTTTCCGATGAATTAAAACACACAATCTTACCACTAAACTTTCTCTTGTTTAGACTCTGAAATCATCCAAATTTAGGAGGCGATTCGATAATATTTTGTTGACGGACACGGTCTCTATTGAGCCCGTCCTCACATCAAATACCTTACAGTGAGAAACCCCTTTCAAACCATCAGGATATTTGTAATGATCTGAAAGAATATTACGGTTCCAGTAATAGTCTACATGTAAACTGGTAAATGAACCTTTGTCGTACACAGATATTATTCTCAAGTTATAACATTATTGTATTATAAATCGTTGGTTTAAAATATAAAACGTGTATGCTGAAAACGTTTTGTTTGAAAAATTTGTTTTTCTGTAAACTGAATTCAAGAGCACACTGAAATAGTTTTCGAATTCCATATTTCACATTATCGTCAGTAATACACCGTATTAATGTAACCAAACATAATGAAACCCAACCTAACCAAACCTTAACCTATAGTAACTTTAATCTAACCTAACCATGGACAGAGAGTACATAATAGCACCAATTATGTAGTCGTTCACAATCCATTCCCTTGAGCGGATTTCCTCCCTGAGGACAGGTCGGTCCATCAAGGGCAAGGTGCCCCTTAAATGTGAGGGAGTGCACGCATTTGCGAGTCAAAGCTCTTGATTGCGTGTCCTTTGACTCTAATATGAGGCTTTTTAGCCTCCCATAGCTACTTGGGTACTTGCTCTTGATACAAACTATATAACCCTTCATATAGTCCAGGGTTGCTGCTTAAGTTCATGGACCAAGAGTCACGCCCGCTGACCCAGTCAGACAGGAAGGTGCATGTCCCTCAGCTGGCTGGGTGTGACCCACCTTGGGTTTTACCACGAGATGATGGGACATGGTAACACTCCAGATACTCAAGAGCTCCACATACTAGAGTGGTCCTCCAGGGAAAGTTTAAAGTGACGTCAGTAATGACTGCGTTACATAGCCGAGCTACAACGTTTCTTCTAGCCAAAATCGACGGAGGTAGTGCACGATAAGTTTAATGGAGTATGATACTGATAAGGTATCAAAGGGTATGGCGAGAGGGGGCCTGCTGCATGGGTAACAACTTCTCTATATCAACCTACCCTGGTTTTGCGCCCTGGAGAGGACACTTTTGCCTCGACAATACGACCCAATTCCATAGTCTCCCGGGACTGCAGGATGCCTACTAGTATCAACGGAAATGCCTCGGCCATCTCCCTATAGCTTGGCTACAGGCAGGCTAGGCTAGTGATCCTGGAATTAATAGTTATATATCTATCATACACAGGAAGTGACACTGTCGTACACAGTTACTATGCCACTAGAAATAATGTTATGATTTGTTTCGAGCGTGTGGGGATAGCTCCAGTTTAGACTTTGATATTATGCTGTAAAATTGAAGGGTTTTTGTTTAGTTTTACGTGTTAGGAAATAATTTATCAGCCTTCTCGTGTTTCCTGCAGTATAACTGGTGTAATTATTTAAATTGTTCGCTTTTATTATAGGCGTGCTTGGAGTTTATTTTTGCCTGCCCCTCGTCTCTATGCCCATCTCTCTTGACCCCTCACCTCCCATGCCCGTCTCTTTCGACCCCTCACCACCCATGCCCATCTCTCTCTTGACCCCTCACCTCCCATGCCCATCTCTCGACCCCCTCACCACCCATGCCCATCTCTCGACCCCTCACCTCATACAAATATCCTCTCGACCCCTCACTTCCCTCTCAATCCTCTCACCTCCCTTCCCCCCCTCTCTCAACGCTTTACCTCCCTTCCCCTCACCCTCTACCCCCTCTCTCTCCACCCCCCCTCACTCAACCCCTCACTCCCTCCCCCTGCTCACCTCCTTCCTCCCCCCTGGCTGCCTCCCAGTTGACTTTGGCCTCAATCCGTCGATGATAATCACAAGTGTAAACATGTTACATGCACAACAATTCGTGAACTTTACAGAAGTCTGGGACTGACTAGCCGGACTGATCATGCAAATATTTAGGCTTTTTATTACTCGATCAGTTTGTGTTCGTGAATACTTTGTCTTGTCTTTACAATACTTAAAGAATGCTTAAATACACAGCATTAATAATATTCACCATGTTAAGGACTATGGATAAGTAGAGTATATAGGAATCTAGTGTGAATGTATACTCTGCTGTGTATATAGGGTTTAAACTTCAGCTCTTGGACCCCACCTCTCAGCGTAATTTCGGTCAGCTGGTGTAGTTGAGTGTTATCTTGCCGACTTATGAGTCCATATGTGGACTCAGTGTCAACTATCTTCCTTACTCATTCCGCTGCTTCATTTCCCTTACACTATAAATGCTCTTCCCAATATCCCTCTGACTTATCTGTGTGTTCAGCTATCATCTATGTGCCCTAGTTCTTGTCCTTAGCATTTCATATACTCTCTTGTCAACTACACATCTATACTCATCTACACTCGCAGCATTTTGAATGTCGTGATCAGGTTTCCTCTTGCCCTGCACTTTTCCGTGTAGGAGGAGAGGAGATGCAGTTCCTGTAGCCTTTACTCATAGGTAGTCCTTTCCACTTGGAGAGGACTACCTTTGACTCCTCTGGTGAGTCTGACTGTTCTGCTCTAACTGCTCTCTGACTCTACCTCGCGACTGCTCTGGTGACAAACGTCTGAACTTTCTTAAGTTTCTTTATGTGGTTGGTCATGTGAGGTGCCATGTTGGCGCAGTATATTCAAGTATTGGTTTAACATTGGTGGTGCTCGCGTCCTTAATGTCTTCTTGGTCAAGTATCTGAAGGCGGTCTTGACGTTCGTCAATATTGTCTGAGCCGTGTGTATCTCTCTCTTATCTTCTTCGGCGTCAGACTTGAGTATTGTAGTAACTCATTGGGGTCGTTCTTCAAGTCATATCAAGAGTATCAATCGGCTGTGAAAACTTTATCAGAATTTAGTTAGAAGGCAGATGGTCGTTGGTATGAGTTAGGGAGAGTGGTTAGAGTTGGATGGGTGGCTAGGTAGAGGTGGATTGTCTGGTCGCTCCGAAATGTGGGTTGTTGACCCATACCCTCGGGGACGGAACCCACTCTGCATTTTTCTCCCAGAACCCACAGCTGAGGCTACTCGTCTAGGGATCGGTATTTGCTAAATTGGGGGGTAGAAATAGCCTAAGCTACTCTATCCCTTTGAGATGTAATTCTTTCTTGTCTCAATAAACATACTTGAACTTGATTTGCTAGCTTATCCTTGGCCTGAACGAGCACTCTGATCCCTGCCATGTACTCAAACAGGGTCTTCGATGTGACCTTCTTCAGGGCAGGCACTCTGACCGTCGGAGTATACTTGGGAGAGAACTTTCAGCTGAGCACCTCGCTTGAGGAAGATGTGAGGCAGTTGTTGCTTGCTCTCTCCACCACCTCGCAAGAAGTGTTTATTTCCGACAGCAGTGCCGACGACTGGTGACAAAGCAAGCAGACACACTCGTCCTGACGGCACGTGGGGCACTGGTTTAGTGCTCTCTGCGTAGATGTGCGGGCTAGGAACTCAATATATATTCTATTCAATGCGTGAACGAGTCTCTGCGATTTGTTATTTTGTGCGTACAGTGAGTAAGAGTGAGAGGGGGAGAGCCTGGCAAGTGACACAGTTGGGCGGCAAAGGTGACTTCTGGCAGCCCGGGCGTGTGGGGGGCGCCAAGTGACCTGCTGGTGTTGCCTGGTGGAGAGGGTTTGTGCCTCTTGGTAGTGTTGGTGGTGGCGCGGGGTAGGAGGTGTCGCTACCGCTGCCCCTCCGCGCTCTCTCTCACACACACGCACACAACTGTCGCCTCGGTGTCTCTCCTGCTACCTGTGTTTCGGTACCAGTGTTGCGGAGTTGTCTCCACGACCAACATGGCTTGAACGTCAAGGAACTCGGAGTACACAGAGCTAAACATAAGAAAATGATGCATTAGTGTACCAAACTGCGTGTGTTGTGACTCAGTGCGGGACTCACTCGGGTGCTGGCCGGCGGTGATGATCACACCAACCATGTGACCTGTTGATCTGGGACCAGAGTGAATTATTGTCATATCATTCACTGGAAGTAGAGAGGAGCAGCGTGCTGCGTGCGAGGGTCGGGAGTAACAGTCCTCCGAGACAGTCCTACACACACCGTCATCACGGGTGAAATACACAATGCTTTGTCGAGTAAATTGGACAGTAACGAGGTGTGTGAGGTGAGGACCCTTGAGATACAACTGCCTCCGTCAGGAGCCACATTCCCGGGTCCCGCGTGCTGGCCGGTCAGTGGGGCGGCCGCTGCCACCCATTATTATTATTATTATTACTTGATCTTGCGCATAGTGGAAGTGGCGACTTGGCAAGGGCCGCCACCACCACATCAACACCCTCCACCATGGGCAGGAGGAAGAACAAAACCAGCAACAACCACCACAGCAAGAAGGTACTGTGAGAGATCATCCCATTACTGTTCATCTGGTGCTTGAGTACTGTGTGTGTGTGTGTGTGTGTGTGTGTGTGTGTTCGTGTGTGTGTGTGTGTACTCACCTAGTTGTATCCACCTAGTTGTGCTTGCGGGGGTTGAGCTCTGGCTCTTTGGTCCCGCCTCTCAACCGTCAATCAACAGGTGTACAGGTTCCTGAGCCTATTGGGCTCTATCATATCTACACTTGAAACTGTGTATGGAGTCAGCCTCCACGACATCACTGCCTAATGCATTCCATTTGTCAACCACTCTGACACTAAAAAAGTTATTTCTTATATCTCTGTGGCTCATTTGGGCACTCAGTTTCCACCTGTGTCCCCTAGTGCGTGTGCCCCTTGTGTTAAATAGTCTGCCTTTATCTACTCTATCAATTCCTCTGAGAATCTTGTATGGAAATCGACAGGGTAGATAAAGACAGGCTCTCTCTCTCGCTCTCTCTCTCGCTCTCTCTCTCGCTCTCTCTGCGCCTCTGGCGCTGTCACTGTTTAACCTTTGCTCTTGTACTGTGTGTGTGTGTGCGTGTGTGTGTGTGTGTGTGTGTGTGTGTGTGTGTGTGTGTGTGTGTGTGTGTGTGTGTGTGTGTGTGTGTGTGTGTGTGTGTGTGTGTGTGTGTGCGTGTGTGTGTGTGTGTGTGTATGTGTGTGTGTGTGTGTGTGTGTGTGTGTGTGTGTGTGTGTGTGTGTGTGTGCGCGCGCGCTTCTCTGCAAGGACCGAACTCCCCGAGCTACGGTGACTGCCACCAATGGTGAACGGTTTAATACAGCTGCTACCAGCCCCTTCTCTTGATTTGCCTCGGCATATAAAATAATGGGTCTAAAACACATGAATCCAAGCGACCCACCTAACCTAACCAACCTACCTACCTATAGAAAACGTGGATACCTGTGAGCCACTAACCTACATAGTACCCTTTATTTTGTACGTTAGGGACCATAGCGTCCAAAATAAGAAGTCTGCTTGCTGCTACACACCTACTGATTGATGACGATTAAGCCACCCAAGTGGTGGCACGGGCATGAATAGCCCGTAAACACACTTACTGACTGTTTTGCTAAAGTATAGTGAGAGTTCTTGGCAGAGCGAGGCTGGTCTGCTGTTATCTCGTACTTCAGGCTGCGAGCAGCCGCGTTCAACAGCCTGGTTGACCAGTCCAGCAATGAGGAGGCCTGGTCGACGACCGGGCCGCGGGGACGCTAAGCCCCGAAATCATCTCAAGGTGACGTCAAGGTACCCCCCGGGGCAGGCTGCAGTCACAACCTGTCAGTCGTCATCACTCTCCTTGTCAACTCCCTCAACACCAACTGGGCTGTAACCCTCTTTATGACACCTGCAGCTCTGAAATTACTTGATTTATTATCTCTCTCTTGCTCTCTCTCTCTCTCTCTCTCTCTCTCTCTCTCTCTCTCTCTCTCTCTCTCTCTCTCTCTCTCTCTCTCTCTCTCTCTCTCTCTCTCTCTCTCTCTCTCGCTCTCTCTTGCTCTCTCTCTCTCTCTCTCTCTCTCTCTCTCTCTCTCTCTCTCTCTCTCTCTCTCTCTCTCTCTCTCTCTCTCTCTCTCTCTCTCTCTCTCTCTCTCTCTCTCGCTCTCTCTTGCTCTCTCTCTCTCTCTCTTGCTCTCTCTCTCTCTCTCTCTCTCTCTCTCTCTCTCTCTCTCTCTCTCTCTCTCTCTCTCTCTCTCTCTCTCTTGCTCTCTCTCTCTCTCTCTTGCTCTCTCTCTCGCTCTCTCTGGGCCTCTGGCGCTGTCACTGTTTAACCTTTGGTCTTGTACTGTGTTTCACAAGTGTTGCGTATCCAGTCAGGCAATTCGTAACCTCGGGTGGTACTTTCACAATGATTGGTGGCAGGTGTAGCAGCCCGCCCTCGCGGCAGCTGTTGCTGTCTGCTGTCGTAGCCTCTTGCTCAGCCCGGGTAATCATTCCACTTTTGACAGTATTCTGTTGCTATTTTCCAGCGTGGTTCGTTGGTCGTCAAATGTATATGGATAATTGTTTTGTTTTGTATTATTCAAAACCGACCGAGAGAAAGTGGTTTAAGCGAAAGTAAATTGTTGGGACAAAGCTGTAAGCCAGTATGACTGTATAACACATAGAGATGATATGAGGACGGAAATGTTCTCATTCCCTGAAGAAATGAGCCTTCAGGAGGAAATGGAGAGAAGGAACGTTGCTCAAACATTGTCTGGGGAAAACGCCAAGCCATTACGACTATATAACACTTGGAAGGAGTCAGGATAAGGCTTCGGGATGAGACGGGAGAGGGGGGGGGAGAAGGTGCCCAACCACTTGGACGGTCGGGGATTGAACGCCGACCTGCATGAAGCGAGACCATCGCTTTTGCACAGTGGTAGTTGTAGCTAGGGTAGGTGGGATCTCGCCCCCTACAGTAAGGAGACTTACTATGTTACTAAACAGTAATATTGTCTTCTTAAACAATGTCTTAAACTCCTCAAGTTTTATACGTGTTTCATGTTAAGCTTCTTATATCTTAAACCAGTTCTGGTTTAATCTTCTTGTGTTAAACCTGAGAAAGTCGGGAGGTGTCTGTGGAGGGTGTGGTGGTCCCGGAGGTGTCTGTGGAGGGTGTGGTGGTCCCGGAGGTGTCTGTGGAGGGTGTGGTGGTCCCGGAGGTGTCTGTGGAGGGCGTCGTGGTCCCGGAGGTGTCTGTGGAGGGCGTCGTGGTCCCGGAGGTGTCTGTGGAGGGCGTCGTGGTCCCGGAGGTGTCTGTGGAGGGCGTCGTGGTGCCGGAGGTGTCTGTGAAGGGCGTCGTGGTGCCGGAGGTGTCTGTGAAGGGCGTCGTGGTGCCGGAGGTGTCTGTGAAGGGCGTCGTGGTGCCGGAGGTGTCTGTGAAGGGCGTCGTGGTGCCGGAGGTGTCTGTTGCCTCACAGGACGCGGTTAGCAACTCCTTGACGGTGGTGCAGAAGGAGGAGTCGGTGGCAGGGTGACTGGTAGGCCGTGTTTTGAGAGAGAGAGAGGAAGGTAGGAAGACAGGAAGGGAGGCGGGCAGGGAGGAAGGGAGAGACAGGGGAATTGGGAAGAAGAGGGGAAAGGGAGGTAGGAAGGGGAAGCAAGATGATAGGCAGGAAAGGGAGAGAGGAAGGGAGGGAGGGAGGGAGGGAGGCACATGGCAGCTTTCTCTCCTGACCTTGATAACGAGGTGTCACAATGTGTCATGTCACCCAGGTGTCGTGACACCGAGGCGCTGTGTCATGCAGAGGTCATGGGTCATGTTGGTGCAGGTGTTGAACTAGTCTAGGGCTGGTGCAGGTGTTGTAGGTGTTGAACGAGTCTAGGGCTGGTGCAGGTGTTGTAGGTGTTGAACGAGTCTAGGGCTGGTGCAGGTGTTGTAGGTGTTGAACGAGTCTAGGGCTGGTGCAGGTGTTGTAGGTGTTGAACAAGTCTAGGGCTGGTGCAGGTGTTGTAGGTGTTGAACGAGTCTACTGGTGGTGCTACAGCAACAGCCTGTTGGACCAAGTTATCACAAGTCGAGCCTGGCCTCAGGCCGGGCTCGGGGAGTAGAACAACTCCCGAAACATTCTCTAGGTAAACTCCAGGTAAGCGACTCTCGGGTCTGTTTTTGCCCTTCCTCTTACCTAGAACACCTTTCCCTGTCAATTATTTCCGACTCCAGCGACAGTATACTGGGTGATCTCCGTGTGTGAAGGTGTACAGGTGTGTGTGTGTGTGCTGCTCCATAAGCAAGACATGGCTGTGTTGTTGGGTTAAAGTTGATGTAGTCATTTTCCTTCCTTGTGGCGAGGAGTATAGGCTTTGGAAGCTCAAGCTTTCACACACACACACACACACACACACACACACACACACACACACACACACACACACACACACACATTCTGTCTGTCTGTCTGTGTGTGTGTTTGTTCTCGGACGTGTCAAGTCTGCGTTTCACCCCCTTCCTTACCTACTAAAGTACTCTCACCTGGCCAGTGTTACCCCGGCCCGGCCAGGTGTTACTTCCGCTCTCTCGCTTCCACAAAGAACACACTGTTGATACTCGCAGGTTACACACATTTAATGGAATTGTCCCTTTGTGATTTATTAACGTTGAAATGTGTACCTGTGAGGGTACCTGTGGGGGGTACATGTGGTGTACATGTGGTGTACCTGTGGGGGTACCTGTGGTGTACCTGTGGGGTACCTGTGGGGTACTATAATTGTGTGTGTGTGTGTGTGTGTGTGTGTGTGTGTGTGTGTGTGTGTGTGTGTGTGTGGGGTGTATACGTATGTACCTGTATACATGGTACCTGTATGACGGTACCATGAATGGTACCATGAGTTGCTAACATAAACCAATTTGTCTTTGCTCTTGAATTATTCAAAAATAAAATAATTTGGGATTTCCAGAGGAATATTGATGTTTTGCTCAATAACCCGTAAATGTTTATGGTAAAAATATGCTTTACATATATATTGCTTTATGCCTTGACTCTGTGATTCCTGCCTCTCTCTCTCATCTGTGTCTGCCAGTGGTTCCTCCCTCCCCCTGCTATCATGAGGAAATTTACTGAGGCTCCTGCAGGAGGCTGGAGGCGGCTCCTGCAGGAGGTTGGAGGGGGCTCCTGCAGGAGGCTGGAGGCGGCTCCTGCAGGAGGTTGGAGGGGGCTCCTGCAGGAGGCTGGAGGGGGCTCCTGCAGGAGGCTGGAGGCGGCTCCTGCAGGAGGCTGGCGACGTGGACACCTTCCGCTGGGACCCGGAAGGTGTCCACGTCGCTCCCTGCTCTCTCTTTCATCAAATATTCACTATCTCACCTTAGTCAACCTCCCTTGGGGCCCGCATCTCGCCTCACACCTGCCAGGCCTCCTCCTGTAACACCGTCTGGGAGGCGCGCCCCTCCCCATCACCAGACTTACTGGGAATGTGCGCTCAGTCAAGTTAAACACCGCTGGGTCTGGTCAGCTGTGGATGGGTGATCGCGCGGGTTATCATTGTCCGTAGATAGAGGG